GTGCTGGCTGCTCGCCCAGCGCGGCGCAGGCGGCCGAGGAGCGCTCCCCGCGGAGCACACGGGTACCCACCGTCGGCCTGCTCAGGGGGGACCGGGAATCGTTGTGACGAAGCGTTTCCCAGACATGGCCCAACTGAGGTCAGCTGCACTGACAAGGTGGCACGTTAAGGAGTTGAACGCTAACACATACCAAAAGCACCCAAGCCAGATGAGTCTTGGGCATCCTTCCCTGGCAAGGCTCCATCACTGACTCCTCTCATATCTCCACTGAATTGAACTTTCACCCAGACTTTTAAAAGCTCATTTCCCTTTTCAACCACTGTGCCGAGGCAAATACCCACCCTCAAACATGCCTCAGCTGGAACAGGGGGCCTTGGAGATAAGGAGCCCACCCTCATGCAAACGATTCACCAAACCTTCAGCAGTACCTGTTAGTGCTCACATGTTCGTTAGCAAATCTTAAACTGGCATATTAGTTCTTCTATAGAGATTCTACATGTGCAAAAACATAGCCCACCATTTGGGTGTTTAGTAGGTTAAGTTTCTACCCCAAGACCACACAGATTTTTTTTTCCTTCGGTATTACATGTCTGCTTGCAGTTTCGTTTCCCCCACTCTAACCCCTATATTTGCTTTTCCTGAAAAAAAAAATAATCCCAGTGCCTTAATTCAGAGTTCTGCATTTGAAACAACATTTAACTAACCTTAGAAGACAACTCAAGCTTCTCTTACTAACAAGCAGGTTAAAATAAATAGCAAAACAATAATTTCATTTGCTCAGTCCATTAGGGAATTCCCTCCTACACACCAGTTCATGCCTTAGCATTATCACAGCCAAACCCGAGTTGTTTACATGTTTGGATCTCACAACTAGAGGGACATTACAAATAGATCAACACCTAGAAAAGAAGTGACATAACTTGTCCAAGACGGAGCAATTAGAGAAATAACCATTCAACGCAGTGTAGAACAAAAATATACACATACAAACAAACAAAAATCTAGTATCCCAGGGAATAAGGCGGCCCTAGAGAGTTTCATCATTTTCTTTAACTACAGAACATGTTAAAACAACTCCCTTGCCTTCTACAGGGGTCACACATTTTGCAAGTGTGGAATCAGCACCATTTTGTTTTGAAAAGGAGGATTCTACAGGAGGAACAGAATGCAGTATAGACTGAAAATCTTTTGTCGTTTGCTGCCATCTATCAGCAGCGAGGAGTAAGACCGGTAATAGACCAAGCAGCCCCTTCACCGTGTAGAAGCGTGGTAACGCGGGCCTGGAAACCAGAGCTTATTCCAGGAGATTACACAACGCTACCTGCAGATTCTGGTGCCGGTTATAGCAACCTTTGTTTTACCAAGAGCATATTCGACGTTTTGAGTGAGTTTTCTTGAAACCACTCAGTTCAGGCTCCTCATGAATACACGGGCTCCTGCTTAGGATGCAAGTCCATCCAGTTCTGTCACTGACCTTGAGAGCTCCCTGCCTCACTCATAGCCTCATCTCTTCTCTTCCTACTGCTATTGTCTTTTTACAGGAAAGTCAGTATAACACTTAATTATCTACAAAAAAAACATCTTGCCACTCCTTACAGAGATGAGTCCAAGTACCTTATTACGTCATGTAAAGTATCAAAGAAACCATACAGAACCTAACTCCAGATAATATCATGAAACACTTAATATTATACACTCCAAGTAATCAATACCAATAGAAAACCAATGTTTAAGTACTGTAATTAGCATGAGGCCCTGAGCAGACACTATCAAGAAACACAGACAGCCTGTATGTACTAAGTCAAATCCTGAATTTATTCCCTCTTTCAGCCATTCACTGTAGGGTACTGATGTCATCTGGATGCACTTCCTAAAGTTACACCAAATTTTATTAACTACTCAACACCTACATCTGTTACACCATAAAATAAACTCCTTCGTTATGCTGCAGAGGAATGCAAATTTTTGCAAATACCTCCTCATCCCAATCCAATGTCAGGGGAGATTGTGATATGATCCCAAGAACAAGATTAAGACACAAATGAGGTCAAATGCCGTATACCCAAAATAGGTTTTTATTATTAAAAAAGTGAAGAGGGGTAGTGATAGGACAGAACAGAAAGACAAGGCAAAAATAAAACAAGGACTGGAAGAATAGTCATCACCATGGATCCAGCGGCATCCTGTTGGTCCTCAGTCTTCAGTTCTTCGATGGAGGGTGCTCACGGATAAGGCCTCAGTGATAGATGCAAGAAGAGCCAGATTTTCTGCTGCCTTTTTAAGTTCATCCTACCAATTGATCAGCGTATCTGCTGGCCTTCAGTTTTTTGCCTCTAGTCCAACAGGCTTTGTTGCATCCTGCTTCAAGGGCATGAACGTTTGCCTCTTATCAGTTCGTTAGCAATGCAGGCATGGGGTCTGGCCTACACAATAGAGCCACAAACGGCTCCAGGATGGGGCCAGCTCAGTCCATGTCTGCCCCTTTGAGGCTTATGTAAATGCAACCGCCAAGAAGTGGAGAGTGCATCCTTCAATACCCTGCTGCTTCTCTGAGCAGCATCTCCCAGACCAGTTCACAGGCCACAGCAGCTTCTCTCGGAGGTCTGCACAGACACAAGCAAGCTTTGAGACAGCCATAGGACATTCCAGTCTCTCACACTCCTACATCAAGTTATTGTATTTTGAAGGAAAAGCAGGAAACATAATACCATAACAACTGATACATAAAATCCACTCTTCCATACTACTGACAAATTCTCTATTTCCACATGCGGGATTCAGTTTGCTATTGAAATCAATGAGTGTAACTTCCTTTGTTATTGAAACAAAGCAATAACACAATATCTGAATGAAAAACTCCAAGCTACTATAGATTCCAGGGATGACCATTATGGTGGCAGTTTACCAAAACTTCTGCTATGCTCAAACCAGTGGGTTTTTTTAAGGTTTATCTCCTATCTCAATGTATTTAATTTACTTTTTTTTGCCAACTACATAGAATTTTTCACTGAAGTATATTCAACCATCTTTTATTCCTGGCTTTCAAAAGCCACTATTTTGTATTGTCATTATTAATAAAAAGATTAACTTCCACTGCAAACACAGCATCATCTAGAGAACACTATTACTGCAGTCTAAACTAACAGAAAGACTTCTGTATTTTAAAACAGACTTTACCAGACTAACTTTTTACACTTGTGAAAACTGTATTGCATATACCACTACTTTTCCCATAAGATTATCTACTTCTACCCTAGCATTAAATATTTAAAACTTCCTCATAGTATTTACTAAAAATATAGCAAAGGTCTACCAGTATACTGTTTAAATGATAGTGTTACCAAAATGCTGGAAATAAAAAAAACCTTATCAACACCAATTTGATGTAGATAAGCAGACACTTCTTTATTGATGGCTAGACATGTAGGGGAATATTCTCAACAACACATACAAGGCACCAGAATCATACACCTTATATAGAACTTATACATACTCATTGAGTATTCATACATAATCATACAATTCAATAAATCATTAACATAAACTCCTCCTATCTCCAATTTCATACAGTAAAGGTTAGAAATGTCTAGGAATGGGTCTGGGGTGTAATGTGAGTAGGTGGTCCATGAGTCTGTGATCATGATCTCCCCCTGCTGGAATTACCTTTTGTTTAAGGACACAGTTTTCCTGGCAGATACTTGCAAGCTGTTACAGTTACTTCCCTCAGTTCCCATTAATGCTGGACCTTGACAACTACTTGCATTCTTCTAGTCCTATACCTGTATTATAAATCAGCTTACAAACTATCTTGTCTTTTATTTACCTAGGTTCTAACCGTTCCTACTAGGCAATTACGGCCAATCCCTTTGACCTTAGTACAGGGCTATACTGGGGATTTAGAGTAGCAGCTGGTTGTTAGGTTCAAAATACAATAAATATAAAATAAATTATTTTCACGAAAATATCTCTTAATTCTATACTTATATTAATATCAAATACAACTTAATTTCAGTTGATAATAAAATCAGTAACAATAATATAAGTGACACACTACAGAACAACAATACTAGAAAACACTAAAACCTATACTAATGCCATTAGAACCAAACAATCAAGATAAAAATAAAAGCTACAGAAAGAGGTAAAAACAAGCACAGTGCTTTAACAATGCAACTGCACAGCACCTAAACTAAGAAAAAGAAACAGCAAAAAAATTCATTCAGGAACAATAGAACACTGAACTCAAACTACAATTATACCATACAAAAAAAAAAAAGTTAAAACCCCTAAAAAAAAAAAAAAAAAAGACCAAACACTACTCTACCCCACACTAAAGAGAAGTGTTCACCACTGCTTTTATAGAGAGTTCTGGACCTGAGGAGCAGAGGGGGTGTGATTGGCTCCCAGATGAGGCTGCTCAGCATAGTTAGATCAACTGGGGCACTTGACACTGACCAGCATCAAAAAAAATATATTTTTGATAGTCTCTTATTAAGCTTTTCTTTTAGTTATTAAACTTATTTTGAAAGTTGTAGCCTCATTATTTGTTTGTTCATCTCTGACACAGAATAGCTGAAAAACTGTTATAACCTTTTTTTCTTTCAATACCTACTACTCGTGATTTCTATGGGGCAGTAACTCACAACACCACACCTACCTGAGATGTTTTGCACTCCTACAATTACTGTCATCTCACAGGTGTCCCATCAGGTGAGTAACCTCCCACCTGGCTGTCTGAATGCTTCCTTCAACTTGTAACTACGCTGCTATCTTTCTGCACCGTTTTGACTCCCCAGTGATCTTCCTCAGAGCTGCCCATGATTGCATTCCTGCTTTCCAGCTACCTTTTTGTACAGTTTCTCTTTGATCTGCAAACTATTAACATTTCTGAGTTTTCTTTGGAGCTCCTCCTGTCTGTCAGCCATCACTTTGCCAGCCAATATCTTTAGCTGTACATCTTCACAGGTTTTGGCATTTGTGCAGCTGGGTTTCATCGCTATCTGAACCAAACTCTAAACCCGATTCACTTGCAAATGGTCCCCAGCTGATTTTGATTAGTGTTTTCCCAAAGGATACCGAAGACTTCAGATAAAAGCAGCTACTGCCTTAGTTAACTAGTTCTTGCTCTTACTTGAAAGCCACTCAATACTTAGAAAGGAGGTTAGAACCTATGTAAGGTTAGTATCTATATAAAGTTAGTGTGCTTTTTTAGCACTTTTTTTTTTTATTATTTAATTAAAAACCATAACTTTAATTTTTTCCCTATGTTTTTGTACATAATATTTTGTCTTTTCTTAGTATTTAGTTTAAGTGAAATTATAAATTTATTTTTAGTGTTTTTTTTCTGTCTTTGTTAACTGTATTTTTATTTTATTCTTATTTTTCATTTCTGATAGTTATTAGCATCTTTATATGTGTCACTTAAAAGTTGTAGAAGCTTAAGGTTTTTATTTTCTAGTCCTTATTTACATAACACTTAAACATGCAAAAAAAAGATCTGGAAGACATCCTTTTGACTAATTGTGAAATAAGGAATAGTTATGTGACTTTTCACTTTTTTTATTTTTTTCAGATAATCAACTATTAGTAGTTGTTATTTCTATAGCACTAAAAATGAGATTTTGGAACTTGAAAAATAAGATAGGTAGAGTGTTGGGTTCTTGTAGAACCTTAAATTGTTGCTGAGTTGTTAAATAGAGCTGTAATAATAATGCAGATAAAAACACTAAATAGTTTTTTTAATTTAAGTTTTAGTAGAAGATAGAGAAGTGGTTTTAGTTTGTAGCAGTTTGGTTTCTGCTTTTAGCACTAGTCATGAGCCAAATTATCTAAAAGCAAATAAAAATAAAGCATAATGGATATAAAAGTGTCAATTGAAGTAAAGATTTAGCCTTTATGTACCTTTTATATGGTATATTCATATAGCATATGGAGTGTAACTACTTGGTAAAAAAAAAACAGACTAAAAGGGTGTTTGTCAAGAGAAAACATCCAGATAGAAGTTAACAAAACAAAAAACTAAGCGTTTAGTGAAAAATAAGTGTTAGAACAACATAAGAGGGAACTATTTTCTTTAGTTGCATCACACATGAAAAAAAATTCTACAGTATAATTGGCAAACTTGATGTTCAAGTATATTAGTTTTAGAATATGATCAATTTGCTTGTCATTATCATTGCATAACATAGGGAGAAAAATGAACAAAACGGTTGGAAGTACTGTGTTCAGTTTTCATAGAGGATATTATTACTCTTCTGGAAAAATATAAATGAAAGGATGTTAAAGTAAGAACACCTGGAAAAAATAACAATTGTTAAAGTAACTGTTTTGTGGTTGACTGATTAAATATGTTATCGATGAAGTTACAGTATATGTGTAACATAGGCAGGTGACTTCGTTACAATGTTTGTCTGTTGAGCCATTTCTAAAGCAAGATCCAGCTCCTGCCATCTGACCTGTGTGGGAGGACCTGCACAGCTTTGCAGAGTCCCATTGCAGCACAGGCCTTGTTGGGTGGAGGAAGGGTCATGCCTATGCACATCAGATTACAGGGCTCCAGCCAACTTCTGGGTGAGACCTAAATTTGATCTGCTTGTGCTCTAAAATCATGGACTGCTCACATAAAGTAACACAAGTTATATAGTGGCAGACGCAAAATTGTAAACCTGTTATTTGACTGTGCCTAGACTTGTATCAGGTTGATTTTGTTACTTTGTGCTTCTTCAAACAGTTATTTTGAGATTGTGTGTGTGAAAGCACCATGTTCCTGTGCAGCCAGGTACATTGAAGACTTTTTGTTTTGGTAAAGCCTGAATTCACTACATGGTGATTCTCTCTAGGGCATCAAGATTCACAGCTCAAAAATTTTCTTTGACATTATATATAAATACTTAGTGAAACTAAATTTCTGCCTGCTTTTTAACTTTTTAAATCCTTGTCATATCAAAAAATTTTATTTTGTTTAGCGGTCTTTCATGTAAAGATATAAGGTAATAAAGCACTCAGCCTCAACCAAAAAAAACCTCTTAACTGAAGTGCATATTTTTCAGTCTAAAGTTTTAAAAAGCATTTTTACCAATACATAAAAAGAAAGAATCAGCAAGTAAAAAGGTTCTACTTAGTGATATTAAAAATCTTAATCTGAGAACACAATAAAGAAATAATCCACTAGGTAAAAATAAACACTTGGTATGAGGAAATTGGCCTGTGAGAATTGCATCATCATTGCCAAGTTCTCTTAAATGGTCCAGCGTGGGTAAAGAAAACATGAGAACATAAACTGTATCCCACAACAATAAAATCTCAAACATGTGATTGGTGAAGTAATATTATGAAATCCTAAAGCACAGGAATCATAGGGTCCATTTTGGGGTGAAGCCTGTCAGTCCTACACTGGCAGGGTGCATTGAGCAAGTCCTGGCTGAACAATGAAATCTAAACACAAACCCACCTATTATAATGCCTGCAAGGGTTTACATTCACTGGCTATAGTTACATTACGGAAGATAAGTATAACTTGATTTTGTAAGCAGCTTGTGCACAATTTACCTGTAATGTTTTAGTGTTCAGAATCTGAGACCTAAGAGTTTAAGACAGATTAGATCAGATCCTAAACTAACGAACATCTAAAAGCAATGTTATTGAGGTAAAACTTTATTCTGCATACAGAATGTTTAAGTTCTTCATCTAGACAACCTGCACTTTGGCATAGTCTTTGACTTCTCTTTCACCTAGATGATTATTTAACACTTTGAAATGTCATGCTTCCTGAGGTTTTACTGGAGACATTGGTGAGCTCCAAAGGGTAAGACAGAAAGCACAAAAGGTCTGGGGTTCAGGGAAGAAGGGGAGCCCACACCATCCTCTTACATTTAAAAGGAGCACATTAGAAGTTACAGTCACAGTGTTTGAAAAGAAAGCAGAAGGAGAATTATCTGATGTTTGATTTACAAAATATCCATTCACAGGAAGCACATGAACATTTGGGGGAAACAAGGGCTGAGATGCTGCTGGTGGTTTTATTTTCTCTGCTTGCACAACATGCTGAGGAGGAGAAGAGGTTGTCATTTAAGGGAGTTCTTTATTCCCACCAAAATATGGGAAATTTCAACATTGTCCTTCCCACAGCCACCAGAACAATGATGTCAGATTTTGTGGAGGATTTAGGGCTCTATAAAAGATCTGAGAAAGCACAAAAGAGTGTGGGTTGGTAAAGGAACGGTGTATAATAGTGGTGGGTTGACAGCTATTAAATTTTGCAGTTCTGTGAAACTATTTGATTCATTCTCATTAACTGCATTAGCCCACTATTTCTTTTCAAAAGCAACAGAAAGAAACCCTAATTAGTATTTTGGAACCATGAAAAGTATTAGTGGAGCCTGTGTCATCAAGTGTTTCAGTCAACTCTTGCTGAATTGATTACCATGACAATTCTTGGACTGAGTAACTTCAAAAGCTTAGGTTACAGTTTCTGTTGAAATAGATAAAATGAGGTATCTGCTGTTATTACAGGGATACCTGAGAACCAGCACAGGCCAAGCACCTGGTGCTGATGGACTGGGGGATTGGAATAGTTGCTTAGTTTTAGTAAGAAATATTGTCCTATTGTTATTCCGGGCATTCTCTGTTCCAAACATTTGCTTAAAGTTCCCATAATACTGCTTCCTTAACTTGCTTCATTGAATTATTTCTGCTAGAAAATTAAATGGAAAATGAGTACTAGCAATGGAAGTATGTTAATATGCTCCTCTTGCTAAGGTAAAAGGAGAGAAAGCACAAAAGGCTTAGGTAAGTCCATGGATAATGTCTATATTGTAATGTGTTAAAACTCTGTTTTCAGGTAGTCCTTGTATCTTCTCTTCATCGTTCCCCAGGACAGGACCTGATGCTGGTAACACCAAGCTGGTAAGAATAACAGTTCTGTCCTGAAGTGATGTTTATTCATGCCTGGTGTCCATCTGCCTGTCAACCCTCCCATATCTTTCTCCATGTTTGACTGCTGGCCAACTCCAATCAAATGAGGGGAGGATGTTTCAAAGACATGAACTTGTGACAAATTTGGTGAAAATCAGCATCTCAGTAAAGGAAGAGGTTCTCTTGGCTCTGAAAGGTGGGATGGATTTTCAAAAAGCTTTTCACAAAATCCTGTACTAGAGATCTCTGGGCAGTAAAAGCAAGTACCAGTGTGAAGAACTACAGAAGTATATCATTACACTAATTGACTGCACCTTAAAAGACTAATTTCAGTGCTATTAAGGAAAGTAATGTGCAGAGCAAAGGCACACTGAATTCTGCAAACACTGTGGTGACTTCTGGGTGAGCCATTTAGCATTCAAGAAAGATTCTGGAGTTAAGGGTGAACAATTTTATGAGAAGATCAGTGTAATGCTCAGCAGCCATAGAGAAAAACCCTTACGAGAACATTAATAGAGGAAACCAGAGAATACCCTCAGGTCACTTGCCAGCCCTGGCTGTCCCAAGTACCCTGTTCTAGCTGCCCCTGAACTCAGGGACAACAGAAAAAGCAACAGTCACAGTCAGTGAGGATGGTCTGGGGTTGGAACAGCTTCACATGATAAAAACCCAAGTACAATAATATTTTCCTGAGTCTTTTCGACTCTGTCCAGAGGATGCCACACAGGTCTGTATAATTATAAATGGTGAATAAACCTCATTATTTCCCACAAATGAGAACTCTGCATCAAATGAATGTACTAGATAACAAGTTGATGACAAACACAAGGGAACAACTTTTCACACTCTGCATGAATCAGAAATTGTGGCTGTAGAACATTGATGCCAAAACATAATGAGCTTAAAAAGCAGATGAATGAGGGGATGAAAAACCAATTTAGCACTGCTAAACATGGCAAAATAGCATGTGACTCAGGATGTCTCCCTGTGAACTGAAGAAAATGGAGAGTGTACAGAGGGGAAGTAAAATTGTATGCATGCCCAGTTCTTAGTTTTAGTCTGGCCACAGGAAACTGTTCTT